AGTTAGTTAGTTGTTAGTAATTGTTGACTTGGTTTTGATTTAAAGTAAAATTTCATTCATAGTAAAAACTAACATCAAAATGGATTATTTTAATCCTTTTGGTGTTAATTTAATCTGCAACGCTTTTTAATACCTCACAATTTACTTTGTAATGATTCATTGTTGAATTGCATTCTGTTTTTAAGACAAAAATTTTTATTTTATTGTAATGTTACTAATTCCTAATATCAACTGTGATATTCACGCTTTGCTGAGACGAAATGAAAGAAAATTAGTTATAAAAATAGTTTTTGATGAAATTAATTACACTTTTAATAATCTAATTTAAAAATTGTAAATCTTTATATAATTATAACGATTTTTGAAAAAATTGGAGATTCAAATATAAAAAAACGAGTTGTGACTCCCACTACTTGCTTGCGGATAAATTGTCGAGGTCAAGCGTAAAATCGTTAGCGTGGTACGCAACATATGGATTTACGAAAATTTGTCGGCTTACGTAGATATCATCAGAAAGTGAACGTCGTGTTTTGGCGCTATCAGCTGACAGAAAGTCTTTCTTTACTTGAAGAACTGCTTCTGATTAAAATTTTAATTTAAAAAAAGCGCATATCATTTTCATGTCACTTGTACGAGAATTCAAGTCTAGTGCAATTTTGTCGATAGAAACTGTTTCTGAACAAACCAGTAAGATGCTACACTATAAATTGTAATTGACATAAATGTGTTATATAACTGTTATGTATATTGGGTCCACAAAAAGAACGTTTCTTTTTGCTGGCAATTTCAGAACATTATTTGGAAGAAAAAAAATTCATATAGGTACAATTTCAACCTCGACACTATTAGAAAAATTAGTATTGATAAATGAAAACATTAATTTCTTTTATTTCTAATAATTTTTTTAAAGTAATTAACATTAATTTGTTTTTATTTTTTTGCAATTTTATATCTAATAAAAAATAATGATCACACATTTGGATTAGACAATAATTTTCTCTTGTGCAACATGAAGTGCAGAATGTAAAAAAAATAATTTTCATTTTAATGAACTTTTCTAATAGAGTGCGAGATAAAAAAAAAGGTTTTTCCCTTTCCTAGTAAACTATAATTTTGTAATGCGTCCGTTACCAAATTAACTTGAGCTCCAAATACTTTTGTATTCAACGAAAAAAAAGAAAAAAAAACTTGTTCAATTTTAATAGCTTAGTGTGTGACAATTTACAGTTACTTCCTTCACCGTTTGTCGAAAATTGACTTTCGAAATTCGACTTTTACGATTCTGCGAGGCACGTTTCGAAACCAGAAATTTAAGCCTTCAGCTGAAGACTGTAGTAATTAGCCCCCAAGCAATAAGAAGTTACTCGGTCGAACTCTTACTGCATTTCACTGAAGTTTCAGACAAAAAAACTAAAGTCTTGATTTCAGTCCACTTTTGAGGATGAATTCACGATGTCAACAAAGTCGGCCCCCAAGGTTCATATGAGGACAGACTTATTTACTATCAAAATTGGTTGAATTTAAGTTTGAAAACTTAAGTTTAAAACTCTTGTTTTAGCTATGTAGCAAAAACCTAAATCAAAATCCGAATAATGCAGAGGAGATTCTTTATTCTTTTGCATATGAACAAGTCACTTGGAATGTATCCCATTTTTCTTCTTCATTATAGTTTTGTACTCTGTTCCATGCACAACTGTCAGTGATAAGTTGCCTCTTCTTCATATTTCATCTCCTATCCAAATTCAGAATATGAATAATAGTGCAAAACAAAAAAATCCCCTACTGAAGAAAAGAATAGCGTTAAATTTAAAAATAAAATATATTAAATTGACGAAACAAAAAACTAAAGTTGATAAAATGTACTTTTTTAATGATACTGTTAAAATAAATTCTTTAAAATTTTTATTAAAAAATAGCAACAAAAAATTTTCAAAAATAAAAATAAATTTTCAAAAATAAAGTTCAACAGAACTTTATTATTTTGCAGATCATCAAAAACAGAATAAAAAAGCTAGTGAATACTCTGCAGAATTTTAGTTAAATCATAAATGAAAGAGCATTCTTATAGTCAAAGAAAAATTTCTTTGATTTAAAGAAATTATTTCATTACTTTTTTTGCAGACTTCGCACCCATATCTAAAACCTACTATTTACTACTTTTTTTACGTTACGCTACTATTTCGGTACTTTTTTTTAAATTTCATCCACTAAAAGCTACTTTACTTTACTTTACTTTTTTTTTTTTTTTTTTTTTTTTTTTTTTTTCTTTTCTGAGAATTTCCACTACTTTAAATTCGCTAATACTAGAAATCAAAAATATATTCTTAAAAAATATTTAATCAAATTCTTTAAAAAGATTTAATTGTTTTCAAAAAATATTCGAAATTCAATTATTTTCAATATCTATCATTCTTATAAAATTTCGCAAAAAAATTGAATTATTTAAAAAAAATTGATAAAATTCACCCAAAATTCAATTATTTTCATAAATAATAAAATTTTCACAGAAATTAAATTTATTTAAAGTTGCATTTTCAAAAAAAATTTTTAAAAAACAATAATTTAACAAAATTTTTATATAATTCTTCACAATAATTGAAATACTTTAACTAATATATACATTTTTCATGGAAATTCAATTATTTAAAAAAATTTTAATAAAATTCTAACCAAGAATGTAATTATTTTTATAAATAATAAAACTCATCAAAGATTTTTAATTATTTTTAATACAATTTTAAATTAATTAATTGCAAAATTCAATCATTCTCACAAATAAAGTTTTCCACAAAGAATCCAATTATTTAAAATAAAATTTACATTTAATATTTATTATATTTCGAAAAAATTAATTACTTATAACAATGTTGATAAAATTCTTACGAAAAATTCAATTATTTCGAAAATAACAAAAGCTTTCACAGAAATTCAATTCTTTTTAAACATTTTCATAAAATTTTTTGTAATAATTCAATTATTTTCATAAATAATGAAATTCTTCTTAGGAATACCAGTATTTTTAAAAATTTTAATAAAATTTTTAGCAACAATTCAATTACTTTCATATATAAAAAAAAATTCATTGCTGGATTTCAATTATTTTTAATACAATTTTACAGGAATTGCTCAAAAAATGTAATTATACTTAAAAAATTTAATTTCAATTCCTCGAAAAAATCAATTATTTGAAAAAATGTTTTTTTTAAATTCTTTGGAAGAATTCAATTATTTTCAAAAATATTTCGAAAGAATCGAAAGAAATTAATTATTTTAAGAACAAAATTTTAATTAAATTTTTTTGGAATCATTCAATTATTCTTTTATATTATAATAACATTCTTCCCAAGAATTCAATTACTTTCATAAATAATTCTTTAAAAGAATTCAATTATTTCGATAAACAACAAAATTATTTACAAAAATTCAATTATTTTGAGGCATTTTAATAAAATTTTTAGCAAAATTCAATTATTTTTATAAATAACAATATTTGTCACAAGAATTCAATTATTTTTAATAGTAATAAATTTTTTCTTGGAAATTCAATTATTTAAAAAAATTCTAATAAAATCGTTCGCAAGAATTCAATTATTTTCCTAAAAAAAAAACTGCTTTTTAGGAATTCAATTATTTTAAAAAAGATTTAATAAAATACAACACAGACATTCAATTATTGTCAACAATTTTAATAGAATTCTTTGTAAAATTTAATTATTTTAAAAAACTTTTCGTAATTCTATGATTTTTAGTATTTATTATTTTCATGAAATTTTCAAACAGAATTCAATTATTTAAAAAATTTTTTGTAAAAATCTGCGTAAAAATTCAATTATTTTTATGAATAATAAAAAATTACTGAGGAATTCAATTATTTAAATTAGAATTTGTATAAAATTAGTCGAAAGAAATCAATTATTTAAAAATTTTTATAAAATTCTTCGTAAATATTTTTGATGAAAATTAGGAAAAATTCAAAAAAATAAAAAATTTGGAATGAAATTTTCGTCAGTTTTGTGAAGTGACTAAAACTAGTTTTTTTGGTCGTCAAGTTTAATTTTTCCATAAATGTTTCTTTGATTTGAAGAAATTTTTTTTTTTTATTAAAAATAAAAACATAAAAAAATAAAAATTAACAGGCAATATATTGTCTTAATATTTTTGCGCAATATTGCGACAATATTTCTTCATGGTGAACGTCATTAATATTGTCTCAATATTGACTCAAGATTGTTGTCATATTTCTTGTTATTTTTGGGATTATTAAAAAAATTTTGATATTTACTATTTTTTCAAACCCAAAAATTAACACAAGAAAAAAGTGGCTCGAGAGGCGCGGCGCTCACTGATATCTAACTGGTATTAATCCAGGCCTCGCCTCGGATCGACTTTAAGGCTATTAACTTCTCTGATTTTCCTGACCTGCGCCAACTCTCTTATTGTCAAAATTCATAAAATGTAAAAGCAAATCTATCAAAAAAAAACTTTTCAAAAATGTTTGAAACGACATTTTTTAAATTTGTTTTATCAAATAATAATTTCGTTCATAAAAAATTTTATTTCGTATATTTTTTTGAAGCGAATTTTCATTTTTAAATTTACACTTGAACATTTTTCGTTAAAAGTTTTGAGAATTAAATTATTTTCAAAATTTGCAATTAAAATTTTTTAAAAGTTGATTTTCAAAAATTGTAATAAAGTACTTGAAAAAAATAAATTATTTTCAATTAAATTTGATAAAATTTGAATAATGTAAATAATTTTTGAAAATATTTTGTATACTTATTTTTGGCAATATAAAAATCGAAATAAGTTGCATTTTACTCAAATGTAAGTAGTATTTTTTGCAATATTTTGGAAGATCGAAAAAGTCGCAGTTTTTGAAAATAGTTGAAAAAAGTCGCAAAAGTCATAACATCCAAGGCACGTATCTTGAATATCTGAATATTGTCAGGGAAGGATTTTATAAAAAAGTATTATAATTTTTTTTAAAAACAGTTTTTTTTATTTTCGTATCAAATGACATTAAATTACGCTAGAAATATACATAAATCACGGTCGACGAGTCAACAGTTGAACACAGGACCCAATGAATATGGGAACTTTATACATATACATAAATATAACTACCAATCAATCGCAAGTATGAAATGTACACGCATTTATAAACATTCTCAATCATACACTTATCCTAGAAATAAGTAAAACATTCCGGACTAGAAAATCCGAACAAAGATTTTAACCGTGACAACCTCGTCGATATGTCCGGCAATATCCTTGACTCCCACGATTATCGTTCGTCGATCAATATAAATTAATCTTCTACAACAGTCAATTACACATTCACACAAACACTCAATTCAATAACAATAAATGATCTCGGGCACTCACATAAAAAATATCTACAAGAGAAACGAATAAAAATGAAAACTCTGCATCTTATTCGTCAATGACAAATTAGAATGAAGACTAATGTAAAAAAAATAATAATAATAATAATAATAAAACAGAGTAAAAATGTCATCTCACAGTTATGCCTCTTCGTCTTAGTATTACGGGCACTGATCCAAAAATTCCTTACTCAAAAATTGTATCCAGTCTTGTAAAATAATCTTTAGTTTTCTGCTTCTAATTGCTAATATTACAATTTACAATTGTAAATATTGTAAATTATTTCGACTTTCTAAGGATTCAGAGTTTTTGGATCCGCAACCGGGTCCTAGAAATCGGTAACTAAAGGCGAATAAATAGTATAAACAACATTACAAATAAATATATTGTGAAATGGCGGCGCGGCGGGTTTGAATAATAATGAGCGGGACTATGATCGAAGGCTCCAATTTGTACTTTTTATTCCGCAATTGAGGAGGTATCTCTCTTCTTTCGTCTTCTTTATCAGTCACCAACGTCTTTAAATCCTTATAATCAAGTATCACCATATTTTAGCTACCAAAACGATACTCCGTTAAAGCTGCATATTTTTTCTTCTTCTTCTTCTTCTTCTTTTCGAAATGGCACACACTCTTCGCCAACAGCTGCTTATCATCCAAATTAGATCTGCATATTTCTTAACGAATATACTTTTCGAACATTCAATCAAAAGTTCTCCTCGTGAAAAATGATAGGAACGAAAACCGTGCTCAAAATATGTTTGTTTGCCTTTCTCAATGGCTGCCGACGTTTCTCAAAGGTCCTGTACTGTCGGCGGCGAATCCTGCTATGCAATCTTCGTTGAGGATTCTCTGCAGGAGGCAAACCTCGAAGGGATCTGGCGTCACGGTGATGCCAACGTTTCCTTGAAGACTAGGCAGTGACGCACCAGCTGGTAACGTAATGTCGAAAGTGTGCAGAAGCGAACTGAAGAAGAGGAAGAGTTCCATTCGTGCCAAGACGTCGCCCAAACACATGCGTCTTCCCACGCCGAAGGGAATGAAGTACTCTGGTTTGCAGACATTACCCTCTGCTGATAGAAAACGCTCGGGGCGAAATTCTGCTGGTTCATCCCACAATTCTGGATCCATGTGCACTGCATGCAACAGTGGTACCACGTGCGCACCAGTAGGAATCGTGTAGCCATTCATCGTCACGTCTCTGTTGGCAGAAAATAGAAAAATACGATTAAACATTTTTTAGAATCAAGACCGAAATGTTTAAAAAACTACACTAAATTAGGGCCCTGAAGCTAGCGTCGAAAAATATGTTTGTAGAAAGAATGTTTAATAAAAAAAAAAAAAAAAATTGTCTTCAATTTATTTTTAACTATCAAGGTGAACACAAGAAGTGAATTTAATGACATTTTCATATCTAAAAATGACAAAAATATAGTTTTTGACGCTTAGCGTCGACGCTAACTTCGAGGACTTACTAAATCCTAGCAGAGACGATATCAAAGAAGAAAAATGCAGGTCATTTCTGTGACTTTTCTTTTATCACTATTTACTTTTCATGTATCCTACTTTTCAGTCTCGCATTCTATATACCAGCTTTCAAATCCCTAAAAAGTTTTTTTTTAATATTTCCTTTTCAATCACTTTTAATCGAAATTTCTCCTACCTTAAGTTAAACGTATTTCTTTTCCTAACTTTACTTTTTTTGTATAACACTAACTATTACGGAATATTCTATTTAAATATTCAGGAAGTACAAAATATTCAAAAATTAAGATGTTTTAAAAAAAATTTTTTTTTTTTTTTTTAAATTGAGATATTTAAATTCTTGTTAATATTGTTAATAAATAAATATTGTAACTGTTTCTTATGAGCTCCCATCCAGCCCTAAGAACTTTGATTATTGTAAATAAATAAATAAATGTTCTTTGGAATAATTCTTTGGAGTAATATTGCCTATGCCTTGTAAAATTCAATCATTTTTTATAATTTTTAATATTAAACTTCATCGAAAGTTCTTCGAGAATTCAATTATATTTAAATACAAAAATCGAATTTTTTATATAATAACTGTAACTATCCATTTTTATAAAAAAATTATTAAGATATATTTTTAAAAAAAATATAATAAAGCTTCAAAAATTATTTTTTTAAATATTTTTAAATAATTATTGAAATTAAAAGTTTTTCAATTATATAAAATTAAAAAATTTCCAAACTATTAAAAATTGGTAAAATCATTTAAAAATAATTTAAATTTTGAAAAATATCAAAAAAATACTATTTTTATAGAATTTTAATTATAAATATTATTTAAACATGATTTCTTTGAAATTTTAAGTCTAAAAAGTTAATTTTAAAAAAATTTTAATTTCCTTTTTTTGAAGATGACTGAATCTTAAAAAATGATGATAAAACAATTTTAAGAATTAGTGTCTTAAAAGAATGTTTCTATACTTTAAAAAAAATTAATTAATTTTTTGAATATTTATTTTAATTAAAAATTTGAAACATTATTGTTTTCAGCAAAATTTTTAAAATAATTCTAAAATGTTTTTAAGTTTCTGCAGGTATTTGAATTTTCAAATTATTGAAAGTAATTGAATTTAAAAAAAATTATTTGAATACATTTTTTCAAAACTAATTTTTATTAATTGTCATTTTTCAAATTTATACTTGAAGATTTTTTCGTTAAAATTTGTAAAAATTCAATTACTTTGAAAACTTTCAATTAAAATTCTCCAAAAGTTGATTTTAAAAATCTGTAATAAACTTCTTGGGAAAAATCAATTATTTTCAATTAAATTCTATAAAATTTCAATTATTAAAAAATTGGTAAATTATAGGTTGTTTTAAAATTTATTTAAAATTTATTTTAAGAAGACTTTTGAAAAATAATATTTTGTTGAAAAGTCGAAAGAGTCATAATATCTTAGGCCTAAAAAATAATTTTTTAGATTCACAATATTTTTATTTTAAAATGAATTGACAATATTGATTAATACCAGGGATCACAGTATCTTTTTTTCTTTTGAAGTAGGTGAAAAGGTTAATTATTTTCTAAAAATAAGAAAAGAAGGCGACAAAAAAATACATAAACTAAAGTTAAATGAAAAATGATTAGTTTGTATTTATTGTGGTTTAGATTAATTTTTCTTGTTTGAAAAAATAATCCTTTTTATTTAAAATATTTGAAAAATTTTAAAAACTTGGTGAAATAGAAAACAAAATTTAAAAAGGTGATAATCTGTGATCCCTGTAAATGCATTATGTTTAGAAAATTATTAATAGAAATAATAATGAAAATTTAATAAATATTACTGAAAGATTAAAACTAATATACTTATTATTATTTGATAACTACTTAAATAAAAATTAGATATTGAACATATTTTTAAAAACGGCAAGGCATATTTTTGAAAGGTAAATAAAAATAAAATATTAAGAAAAATATTTGCCGAATATGAAAATTGGGATGGTGAATGTAGGACTAAAAAAAAGGAGAAGAGAAGGATATTTAAAAAGTGAAAAAAGAAATGTGAAGTGAGAAGTAGTAAGTAGGAAGCGAAAATTGGACTGTAATTGTGATGAAGGGTACGAAAAATACAAAGTGGGATTGTTACTTCCCTGCCCTCATATTTTTAAGTAAGAAAACTTCTTTTGATTCAAATAACCGATTATTTTACAGTTATCAAAAAAATATTTACTTCAATCAAATAAAATGTATATGAACCAATAAATTCAGTAATTGAAATAAAATAATAATATTACTATTATTTTACCTCAATTCAAGTCTTTTATTATTTAAAATAATAAAAGATTCGAATAAAAGTTATTTTATACAAATAAATATTTATTTGATAATAGACAAGTAATTATTTACTCGAAACGAAGAAATTTTTTTTCAGCATATTCAGTTGTATGTTTCTCCTGTTTTGAACAATAAAAAAAAATAACTAACTTTTCCTGTGCGCTCCGTGACAATTGCAATGATAAACTCTGTTTACTTACACCAACTCCCTGTATTTTAGTTTGTTTTGTTTATTTTTGTAAGCATTATGATTTTCTGTTAATAAATTTTTAACTTGAGAGTTTCTCGGCGTGTGCCAAAGAGATGAAACAGATTTTATGTAAATTTCAGACTTCGCACTCGATAATTAATTTTAAAAAAGTATCAAAAAGTAGCTTTCAAACTAAAAAAAGTAGTAAAAAAGTAAACTTCACAAAACTGACAAAAATTCCATCCTTTATATTTTATTTTCCTGACTTTTTCCTAATTTTCATCAAAAATATTTACATCTTTCTTATCCTGCTAATAAATTGAATGGAACTGCAAAGAAATGTTATTATTCATAAAAAAATTTCAATATTTATAAAAATAATTTAATTTTTTCCAGGAATTTTTTAAAAAACTTTAAAATAAATGATGTCATTCGACTAATTTTATGCAAATTCTAATTTAAATAATTAAATTCCTAAGAAATTTTAATTATTCATGAAAAAAATTGAATTCTCACGATGATTTTTACAACAAATTTTTTAAATAATTGAATTCTATTTGGAAATTTTATGAAAATAGTAGACATTGAAAATCATTGAATTGCAAAAAGTTTTTAAAAATAACTAAATTTTAAAGAATTCTATTAAAATTTTTGAGAATAATAATTGAATTCTTACTAACGATTTTATAAAAAATTTTTAAAATAATTGAATTTCCAAGAAGAAATTTATTACTTTTAAAAAGAATTGAATTTTTTTAAAACAATTGCTATTTTTAAAAATAATTGAATTTTTCTATTAGTTAATTTAAAATAGTATTAAAAATAATTGAAATTCTTCGATGAGTTTTATTATTTATGAAAATAATTGAATTCTTGCTTAGAATTTTATCAAAAATTTTGTTAAATAATTGATTTTTTGAAATTGCTATTCTAAATTAATTGATTTCCTGTGGAAATTTTACTATTTTTATTTATTTAAAAAAAAAATTTTTTTTACTATTTTTTTTATTTTTATTTTACTATTTATGAAAATAATTGAATTTTGGATGAATTTTATCAATTTTTTTTTGTTTAAATAATTGAATTCTTTTGCGAAATTGAATGAAAATACTAAATATTGAAAATAATTGAATTTCGAACATTTTTTGAAAATAATTGTGTCGTTTTAAAGAATTTGATTATAATGTTTGAGAAGAGTTTTTTGATTTCTAGTATTAGTGAATAGTAGTGGAAATTCTCAGAAAAAACAGAAATAGTACCTTTTAGTGACTGAAATCTAAAAAAAGTATCCAAATAGTAGCATAACGTAAAAAAAGTGGTAAATAGTAGGTTTTTAGATAAGTGCGAAGCCTGCAAAAGAGATAAAACAGATTTTATGTAAATTTCAACTGAAATCATTTGCACTTTTTCATCTGAAAGTTTTTTTTGTTAAAGTTATCTCTACAATACATAAGATGCAAAACGCGAGAAAATGTGGAGGCCAGACACGTTTGTATAATGGCAGAATGTGTTAACGTGCGTTACCGGTTGCGATATAGTTCGGTTCTCGCGATTTTTTCCTAGGGAGTTGATGGAAAATAATATTTCAATTGGGTACATCTCGAAAGTTTATTTTTTGGGTTCTCTAAAGGTGTTTCGAGGTAGAAGCAAAGGGAGAAAAACAAATGGAATGTAAATAAAAAAGAAGGGAATGAATGTGAACAGAGTGCATAGATCTAATAAGTGTCCACTCGATAGTCTTTTGGTTGGCGATTAGGTCTCGTTGACAGAACAGCTTTTTTCCTGCGCACGTGCTACCGTCACGCTCTTTCTCGCACGATTCCGTAGCGAAAAGAAGAGGTGAAAACCGTTCTGCAAGGCGAGAGTCGGCTGACACGAAGAATACAGTTTCTACGGTCCCGATTCCTTCTACACGTATTTCGCTAAATGTTGATCGTCGAATCATGCGTGTGTACCAGTTTGTGAGGAAAACGTTTCTTTGTTACAAGGGGAAGGAGGTGTCATCGACCTCGAAATCGAAGGTGAGTCCGGCCCGAAAAGTGGCGGTGCCAATATTGCTTTCACTTTTGCTCGCCGAACACCGTTGACTGTCCGCACGAGACCTGCTCATTGCGATCCTACCGAACTCTCCGTGTATAGCTATGTAGATGAAAGTGCAGCAGGCTTTTAAAAAGATTTAGGATTCTCACACCGAGATAAGCGACCCAAAAAGCAGAATCCTTCTCTGATATCTCCGCCTCGACCTCAATAATGCTCCAATTTCTAACGAAACTAGATGAAACTAGATGAATATTCAGTGAAACTAAACTCACCTAGTGGCGGCGTGAGTCGTGCCCATCGGGACGATGCTGGACCTCCTTAAAATTTCCAAGATGGTAGCTTCGGTTTGTGGCAGATAAGGAAGATCTTCGAGGGTTGGCATCCTCGACCTTCCCACAACTTGGTCCAACTCCTCCTGAACTGCACGTGCTGCCTCCGGATGGTGCAACATGAGAACCACAGCCCACTCCAACGTTGTTTTCACCGTCTCCATTCCAGCAGTGAAGAGATCTCCTAAGATCTGTTGCAACTGGCGGTCTGCGTGGGAAAAATATCGGTATTCATTACTCAATTGTCGATATCAAATTGAAAAGTTTTTTTGAAAGTTCATGGATGATAACTAGAACAACTCTTCTAACATCACATTTATATTTAGAATAAACATTAACTTTACCGAGAAGGTTTATGCAAAACATTTCCTATTTGAATTAATGTGATAATGTTGTGAAGCATAAAAAACAATGAGCATAAAAATTAATTATCTTGCGTTCAAAATGATTTTTTAATTCCATAAATCTTCATATTAAGTACACCTACTCTCGCAGAGGTGACAACATTTTCTGACATCATCATCATCATCATCACTTTTCCCCTTTCTATAATAATGTTTTTGCAGAATAAAAAATGATTGAAATGATTTTCAACTGCCCCCCCCCCCCTTCCCCCCATTTTGAACTCTCTAAAAACCTTGTCTGGTGAAGCGAGTGTGAGAACGTACCGTGATTTTTCCCTTGAAAGAGTTCACGTCCCTCATCCTTGGCTTTCTCAATCTCTAAAAGATATGCGTCGACGAGATCTCTGATGTTGGTCGCGTCGAAAGTATTTCTATGCTGCTCCACATTGTCTTGGAAAAAATTCGCCATCTCTCCTCTATTTTGATCGAGTTTACTCATCACGAACTTGAGGCCAGGCAGATATTTTAAAATAGGGAGAAAATTCACGTAAACTATACTTCCAAATAGTTTAAAACCTTCCTCGGTGAGGGACATGAATTTTTTGTATCTCGAGTCTCCGTGGTGAAAGCGAACCCCCATCGTAATTGAACAAATAACATTACTGATGGCCATGCTCAGGGAATAGGACATATTTGTCGGCACACCTCGTCTCAGTGTCAACCCTTTGATGAAAGAGTCCACTTCTTGCTAAAAGATTTATTTTCGATAAAATATATCACAAGTTGTAAAACATTAAGAAAACTTCATCTACTTCATCTACTTCATCTCTTTGAAGAATTCTTTTCAAATTCTTTCCAAATTCATTTTCGAAAAACTTTCTATTTTTAATTTCATTTTTCAAACTATTAATTATTCATTAAAAATATTAACTTGAATATAATATTAATTCTAAGCAATAGAAATAAATTTAAAAACTTAATTACAGAATTTACAGAAACCTACCATGATTTTAGACTCCATTATTTTTTTTCCAGCTCCTAAATAAGTCATTCCCATGCTTCGCAGTTTTTCATGAAGGAATTTCCTCTGATCCTTCCACAAAGCACCCTCGGTATTAATAATACCTGAAACAAAAGAAATCGTTTATTGAAGTATAAAATTTTTTTGATATAAAAACAAATTTCTAAAATATCTTTATATGTATAAGATTCTTTCTAATGTACAAAAAAAAAATGACAGCCGTAAAAATTATAATAAAAAAAGGTTAAAATTGAATATTATTAAGAAAAAATGAGAATGTAAAAGTAATAAATTATTACTAGTTATTAAAAACTTATGTTGCAATGGCACAGTTGAAGATTGCTTTCTCCAATTTTCAGATTTTATATATGAAAATATAAGAATGCAGCTAAAAATATATTTTTTGTTTTATTCGATCATAAAAAAAAATTCAGAAAGTGAGTTAAATTTTTTAATACATATTTCAATTTTTGTTTAATTCAATTGATGGCTACAATTTTGAAAAGTACATCTAACTTTTCGAAATAAAAAACAATTTCAAGAATTTGTTAGTTTCGTAAAATAAAAAAGTGTAATGTAATGTTAAAGGTAAACAAATATTTACACATTACTCACTTCTTTTTGCAGTGTTATAAAAAAAAAGTCGACGAAAAAGAAACAAATTTTTTTATTTTTAATTTACGATTATAATTCTGATTACAAACACTTTTTTTTAAATTTGGTAAAAATATTTTTTATTTATAATAAATCAATGATTTTAGTGAAGAAAAATTTTAATTTGTTATTAATTTCTTTATTCTTTTAAGTAATACTGCAATTTTTTAAACTTTTTAAAATTTTTTATTTCAAAAAGTGAGACATTTTTTTAATTTGTGTGTTAAATGTTTAAACAAATTTAAAAACATTTTTTATTTCAATTTTGATTTTAGAAAGTAAGACATTCTTTAAATTTGTGTGTTAAATGTTTAAACAAAGTTCAAATAATGTAATTTATAAAATTTTTTTGAATTTTTTATTTTTATTTCAAAAAGTAAGACATTTTTTAAATTTGTGTGTTAAATGTTTAAACAAAGTTCAAATAGTGTAAATTCTTAAAATTTATTTTTATTTCGAAAAGTAAGAAATTTTTTAAACTTGTATGTTAAATGTTTAAACAAAGTTCAAATAATGTTATTTTTTAAAATTTTTTATTATTATTTCAATTTTCATTTCAGAAAGTAAGACATTTTTTAAATTTGAGTGTTAAATGTTTAAACAAAGTTTAAATAAGGTAAGTTTATTAAAAAATTTGTAATTGTAATATTTTTTATTTAAAAAAAAATTATGGAAAATTACATAATTTCATTTTTTCTTAAGTAATATAATTTTGAACTTAAATAAAATTAAGTATATTGTAAAATTATTCATTTTTTTATTTTATTTTTTTGTTTTTTATATTTTCAGTACTAATTTACCTTTGACTGTATTTTTTACTTAGATTTTAAATTTAAATTTTTAAATTTTAGTTCCTTTACATATTTTTTTTTTGAAAAATTTTTTCTTTTTTGAAATTTTCAAAAAAATATGTAAAAAAACTCAAATTTGTAATTTTATTAGTTTTGCATTAAAAAATCAGTTTCTTTTATGCAGAAAAATGAAATTCTTAAAAATAGTAAAATTTCTACAGTCGAACCTGTCGGAATGCAACTCTATTTTTATTATTTTTTTGTATTCAAAAATGCACAATAAGAATTACTTCCTTTTATTTCCAGAATATTGTAAAAATTAATATTATAAAATTAAAGTATAGAATAATTTTTTAAGGTTTTTATACTATAATAAAATTTAAGAAATCGACAGGTTTCACTGTGTTTAAGTTCATATAAAAAGAAAAAGAAAAAATTTTAAAAAAAAATTTTTTTAAATTAAAAAAAAAATTTTTTTTAAAATAACTACAAAAATATACACAGAGAGAGAATATTATTAAATTTTGTAAAAATATTTTAAAAATTGGGAAAAAAGTGCGACAAAGCGAAATTTTGATATAAAAAATACTAAAATTTAGAAAAAGTTATGTGAAATTTAGTATATAATTATATCATCAAATATCAAGAATGTTATTTAAATTCTAATATAAGTTTACTAAATTTAACTTAAGTTTTTTTAAAGTTTAGTATCTCCGTGTAAGGCCGAAGTCCGCAACGATTTTAATAATAAAAAATAAAAAAAATTTGTTAAGTTCAATTCATCTTTAATTTCATGTTAATTAATTGTTACCTAAAAGATAATTGCTCAAAAACAAATGAATTTGAAGGCAAAATAAACTAACAGCATTATTTTTTCGTTTCTGTTTTTAAAAAAGTTGCGATGCTTGATAAACAAGAATTGAAAATTTTGAATTTTTCCAGAATTATCAAGTTGGACAATTTTAGCAAACGGAAAAAAAATGAGGCCAAAATTTGGAAAGTCGGGAAAAAATGTTTTCAAAGTGAAATTGACTTGTTCGTGAATTGGGAGAAGCGAGTGAATGATAGAAGAGACACGCGACAATAATTGAACCCCACGACCTATCATCAGCCACTATCAGTATTCGCGCGCGCAGAGATATGAAAGAAGGATGATTATCTCTAAACTTACCGTATCCGCCGAGGATGTTGTTGAATTCAGTGTGTGGCCTGCCTGTGAACTCCTCTCGACGAAAAGTTTCGCGAATGGCACGATAATCGCTGAGAACAACAACAAGGTGTGTTCCAAGTTTCGCGCTGAACATCGAGCCGTACTTTTTGGCCAGCTCGGCGTAATGCAGATGAACAGCTTTCCCCTTGAGGAAGGGTAGGTAGCCCAGAATTGGCACCCCCCACGGTCCCGGTGGCAGCGATCTGATAGTCTTGATCCACTGTAAAATCCGCACCACTCCCAACACACCGAGGAATACCAAAAGGGTGGAAAGGGCATCAGTCCTGCTACCACCAATCTGTGACAACCACTGGATGACACACTTCGCGAACATTTTTCACCCTCAATGAAAATTTTTGCTCCCAAAAGGAAAACACAGAGTTTCTATTGATATTTCGCAAAATGATTCAACGGAGCAATTGGAAAATTGGGTTTCTTTTTGGAACTCTTGGAAATGAGAATGGATTAAATAGTTCACTACGCGCCGGTAGTATATCCAAGTGGCGCGAATCAAATGCAGTTACGAATTCTGTCACTACTAGCCAAAATTCTCCTCCACTGCCGCGTGTGCGAGCCACGAGAGAATGGAGTGTACACTAACATACACCTTCTTGTCCTTGCCTGTCTTATATAGTGACTCATCAGCCTCTGACCCACGGCGAGTCCGTGGGGTGGGGTTCAGTGCAAGTGCTTGTTCACGATCAGTGACGCGGGGGTAGGAGAGGTTAGCGCGTGGGGTGCGAGGGCGGGTCCTGCTGCCACCGTCTCGTTGGCCGAGGTCCACGCGGATTTGGTCCCTGATACCGATCATGTGGGGGACTGTTGTCCTGTGTGGGGCTACGGGCTGGCCGACTAGCTACCAGTGTCACAGAGGCCTATAGGGCCCATGCTCAAGAGTCAGTTACGGCTCTGCAGTCTCTCAGCACGGACGTTGCGACGTTCTTGTCTCGCTATCGGCTATGCTCAGCACGTGGTGTGTTATGTGTGGATCACATCAAAAACCACGTGCTCACTATTATCATCTCGCTCGCGCTTTTCGGTTCCTCTGCTCTTAGTGTCGTGCCACTTCCTTTCTTTAAGCTTCTTTAAGTGTTTTCCTTTACCCAAACAGCTTGTTGTCCTGTAATCAAAAATAATATTTATTTGTAAAACAATTTTCAAGTTAAGTATGTTTTGCCTTTCTGTGCAATCAATTTCAAAACAAGGATTCAATATTAAGACTTCTTCTTCAAGTGTTATTGTTCAAATTCATTTCTCGAGGATCATATCACTTATAACTAGAATTTTCATTTCACAGATTCTTAGAATTCCACATTGTGGTGTTTTCTCCACATTGTGGAGTTTTTGCTATCTAACCGATTCTACAATAAACAATTTTCTGCAAATTTACAATATACAATAAATTGAGGGTCCGGATCAAATAACTAGACCAACGCGTGGACGCACGCTTAAATGCCAGTCGGGGAGCAGTGAGCGTTTCTGGGCCCCTCACTGCTACCCGACTGGTATCAGCGATTTTCCCGGAGCGTCCGTCGAGTTATTTGATCCGGACCCCCAATTGTTATATAAAACTTTTATGTAATAAAATTTCTACTTAGTCACATTTTTAATACATTTCATTTGTACAAATTTTAATATTTTTTAGCGGAATATTTATTAGAATTTCTGTCAAGTCGAATTTTTAATTTTTAAATTGCAAAATTTCCACTACACCGTATCTTCAATGTAACGAAATTATTCTATATTTGCGAATTGTCATGAGATAGAATTCTAAAAATAGCGAATTTTCAATTGAGGGGAATTTTAAGAACGTGAGAAAAAGGCAGAAATATTTCAGCGCGAATTTTAAATTTGACCAATCAGAAATTACGAGAAACATTGTGATTGGTCAATTTTAAAATTCGCGCTCAATTATTTCGGTCAATTGAAAATTCGGTGTTTGGAATTCTAACAAATAATAATTCATCCAGGCTTCGTACTCGTCTACTAAAACCTACTATTTACTCCTTTTTTTACGTTCTTATACTATTTGGGTACTTTTTTTAGATTTCAGCCACTAAAAGCTACTATTTCTGTTTTTTTTTGAGAATTTCCACTATAGTTTAGGTTCGCTAATACTAGGAATCAAAAAAATATTCTCAAAAATTATATTCTAATTCTTAAAAAAAAGAAATTTTTTTTTTAAAACGATTCAATTATTTTTTTTTTAAAATATTCGAAATTCAATTATTTTCAATAACTAGTATTTTCATGAAATTCAATTAATTTGAATAGCATTTTCAAAAAAAATTTAGAAAAAATCAATTATTTAACATAATTTTTTTTCAGAATAATTCAATTACTTTCACTAACATTTTTCATGAAAATTCAATTTTAAAAAAATGTTTGATAAAATTCTATGAAACAATTCAATTTCAATTATTTTTATAAATAATAAAACTCATCGAAGAATTTCAATTATTTTTAATACTATTTTAAATTAATTGATACAAAAATTCAATTATTTTAACAAATAAAATTTTCCACAAGACTTCAATTATTTAAAATAAAATTTTTTAAATATTTATTATATTTCAAAAAAATTAATTATTTAAAACAATGTTTATAAAATTTCTATGAAGAATTCAATTATTTTCAAAAATGACAAAATTTTCCACAGAAATTCAATTCTTTTTAAACACTTTAATAAATTTTTTCGCAATAATTCAATTATTTTCAAATTTATCTCAAGAATTAAATTACTTTTGAAAATTTTTCTTAAATTCTTAGCAATTATTCAATTCTTTTCATAAATAAACAAATTCATCACAGGATTTCAATTATATTTAATACAATTTTACAGGAATTGCTCAAAAAATGTCATTATTATTCTTAAAAATTCTCAATTTCAATATTCCTCAAAAAAATTAATTTTTTAAAAAAAATTATTTTTTAAAATTCTTTGAAACAATTCAATTATTTTCAAATATTTTAATAAAATCGTTTGAAAGAAACCAATTATTTTAAATACAATTTTAATTACGTTTTTTTGAAATAATTCAATTATTCTTTTAAATTTTAATAAACTTCTTCCCAAGAATTCATTTATGTCAATAAATAACAAAATTATTCCCGAAAATTCAATTATTTTGAGTCATTTTAATAAAATTATTTTCAAAAATAACAATATTCATCAAAAGAATTCAATTATTTTTAAAAGTAATAAATTTTTTCTTGGAAATTCAATTATTTTAAAAAAAATTCTAATAAAATTGTTCACAAGAATTCACTTATTTTCATAAATAATAAAATGCTGTTTAGGAATTCAATTATTTTCAAAAAAAATTTAATGAAATGCCACATAGACATTTAATTATTCTCAAAAATTTTAATAGAATTCCTTTTAAACTTTAATTATTTTTAAAAACTTTTCGCAATTCAATGATTTTCAATATCTTCTATTTTCATAAAATTTTCAAACAGAATTAAATTATTTTAACAATTTTTTGTAAAAATCTTCATAAGAATTCAATTCTTTTCATGAATAATAAAAATGTCTCAGGAATTTAATTATTTAAATTAGAATTTCTATATAATTAGTCGAAAGAAATCAATTATTTAAAATGTTTCTAAAATTATTCTTATAAATATTTAAATTCTTTGATGAATAATAAAATTCGTTGCAGGAATTGAATTTATTAGCAGAATAAGAAAGAAGTAAATATTTTTGATGAAAATTAGGAAAAAGTCAGAAAAATTAAAAATGTGAAATGGAATAATTGTTGTCAGTTTTGTCAAGTTTCTAAAACGAGTTTAATTTTTCGATAACTACTTTTTTACTACTTTTTTTTAGTTTGAAAGCTACTTTTTTAAAATTAATTATTGAGTGCGAAGACTGCAATTCATAAAATATATAATTTTGGTCAAATGAGAATTCGTTGTACTGGACATCCTGCAATTTAAAAATTCGATCGGATAGAAATTTTACGAATTTAATATTCTGCTAAATAGAAATTCGTTCTATTAAAAAAAGTTTTGTCTGATCGTGAATTCGTGAAGAAATTTTGTTCTATAAAACTTTTATATAACAATATTGTAAAACTTTGATAAATTGAATTATTTTCATTTTACGGAATATCTACTTTCTTTGAATTTTTAAAAGGTCGAATTTTTATTGGATCAAAATTAGAAATGGCAGAGCAAACCGATAGACAGATTTAAATGCAAATTTAAGAACTGACCATTCACATTATATCTTATAAACACTGTTGACTCGAAAGTATCAAATTGCAATGAATTTATACCAAAAAACGTTCATCAAATAAAAAATTGAACCAAATTTTTTGTATCAGTTTGATACTTTAAAAAAGAAGACGACGGAGTATTTTAATTGCAATTAAAATGGTTAATTTTAATAACAGTTTTCGACGCTAATTTCAAGAACAACAATTTTAAAACTCGCGTTGAAACACTACTTTTAAAAAATCAAACTGTTATAGTTATAAAAATAAAATTTCAATATTGCGAAAAGAAAAATATTAAAAAAAATCAATTCTATATATTAAACATTTCCCGAATATTAAATAACCATTTTTGGAATATGCATTTGTTGAAAGAAATTTTGTTGGGAATAATTTTCAGAAATTATTTCATTAAAGGAAAAATTAATTATAATGCATCTCAACTTAAAACTTGTTTTACATATTTCATATGTACAATAACACAAATACGTGCGACCAAATATAGACATAATGATATGGGGCACACGTTTCGGCAAGCGGGTCATGGTTGTAGATATATGTATAGCGTCTCTGTGCTATAACAAAAAGTTCCCTCTTTTTTTTTAACATTAAAAACCATTAATTTTTTTTATTGCTTATGAAATCGTAAAAAATCGATGTAATTTTTTTTTATTTAATTCCTTTAAAAAAATATAATGAGAATAAAAAAAAAGTCTTAAGACGAAACGTTTGAAAAAAAGTTTCTAAAATTCTATCATATTTTATATAATCAAATTTAAGTTTATCATTTGTTTTTAGTCTTTGGTCTATACCTTTCGAGCTACCTGTGTGAGAGAGAACTGTGTGTTTTAATGAATATGCAAAATAATTTTAAATGTTACTCAAATGTCCATTTGTCCCCATTTTCTTCTACTTTTGAGTAATCTTTTTAACAAACTTGTTTTCTCAATGAAGTATCTTAAAAAAATATACTTAATCTTCTTAAAATATTCTTTAATGTTACGTATCATATTATATCATATACTTTAAAGTATGGGTAGTCTATACAAATATTTTATGCACATGGGTGATACGTTAAAACAGAAGTTTCACGTAATGTTTCACAGCAAGCTAGATGCAATATTGCATCGCTTTCGAAAGAAAGTTTTCATAGACTTTCATAAATTCATTCACAAAATATCTTTTCATTAAATAACTAATTTAAAAAATTTTATAATTTTTTATAAATCGAATATTTAAGCTTTCGAAAAGTTTTTAATTTTCTTACGAATTCTATGAACCCACATGGTTTATTAATAAAAACTGTAACCCTAACCTTTCCTTACCTTTAAAATCACAACAAAAATATTTATTTTAAAAATTTAAAAAAAAAATTTTTTTTTAATTTTTTTTAAAAATGATGCATTTATATTTCTTTCGTATTCTTGAATTTTTCATCAATTACAATAAAATGCAACAATATCATTGTTTATATTAAACAAGATGCGATGGAATTTTAATTTTATATCTTCACAATATATGAATGTAGGTACTTGAATAGAAATATATATCTCACATTGTAAATATAATTATGAAACTTAAGAAACATTAACGTAGATGTTTTGAAAAGATTAAAGAACTGATTTCGAAAGATAAATAAAATAAATTTGATTCAGTAAAAGTATTTGGTATTGTTTGACAATGTTGAGCCAAGTAAGCAGAACAGGTCAGTTGACAGTTTACACATATGCATTGTTCAACAGGGTCAGGCAATCTTTTCTTACGTAACACGATGTAATCAAATTGGGAATTTTTTATTTATTCCTCGAAACCATCGTTGTTAATGATTAAATTTTTCAACTTCTAAAGTATGTATACATTTTTATTACATAATTAATTAATAT